ATATGGGTACATAACTTTCAACGTAAATTATCCTACGTTTTATATAAAGAATTACAAATCTAACAAAATTAACAAAACAGTACAATTCGCCTTCGCACAAGTTTTGATAGAAACAAATTTCATTTTGTATGGGAAATTGTTTATAATTGTATATAATTGTATATAATTATAGACATTGTGATGGAAAGTAAATATTTACCACAATTATTTCATCCTTCTATATGTTTTATCTTTATTATGTGTTTCTTCCTATTAATGTGTCTTAATATCATTTGTATTTCTGTTCGAGATGGTGTATGTAATAATCGCCACTTTCAAAAGCCAACGCGCTCTGAGTTCCAAGCACAGATGAAAGAGATTCTTCGGACGGCCAAGGAGAGGTTACGACACAAACGACGAGGTCCACGAACACAATCGACGGCCAACAGGAGAAGAATTCACCGCGATTTGTGGAATGACGAGCAATAGGAAACTGAGGAAACAGATGAAATGATGGAATAAAACATTATAAAACATGTAATTATAAATATTATATTATGATATTAATTAATTAATAATTATACAAATAGCACACATGCAATTTTGATTTTCTTCCAGTTATTGACAAAAGTCGATACAAAATCATTTGTTTTGTTGCTTACTTGTTAACTATGTCGTTATTTACTATACTATCAATACTGATAATCTTGTTTACATTTTGTATATTGTAGATTTATCACTACTAGTAGTAAATATCGAAACTCAATTACTGTGTGCAAAACAAAAATAGAATGATACTTATGTTGACTTTTGTTATAAGCTGGAAAAATCAACTTTTATTTTCTTTCTACTTCCGTGATTTTCTTGCGATTTAGTTATAAAGTAACAAATTCTTACATTGTCAGTTTTAGGTACACTGGTTCAATGGGCATAGGACTGGAGGATTGGGACGCTGCCACGGAACATCTAAGTCGATTTTCTCCCGGAGCCAGTTGAAAGAAGAAAAAGAAGATGCTAGCAGGAATCTTCTCTCCGAAGAGGAGAGGAGACAAATGGCACTTTTCAGTGCCCATTTTTTAAACGTTGAACTTGGATTGTCTTTCAATTCACGTTCTACAATATTAAACTGCACTTTTCAATGCCTATCTTTTAAATGTTGAACTTGAATTGTCTCTCAATTCACGTTACATAATATTAAACGGCACTTGTCAGTGCTATTATCCATTTGGGGACACGTAATACCTGTCTGCATGGATGTTTTATCATTGTATAACAAAGCACTTTTCTGTTGTACAATTATAATATTATCCATCAAAGTCTTTTTGTTATATGTTACTTTTTTTGGTACATGTCATATCTAATCGCTTGTTATTTGTCTGTTTAGAAGGAAACGTTTATCAACTGGAGGAATCATCTGCCATCAGGACGACAAATAGTAATATAATTAATGTAGTTATTATTATGTATATTTATGTAATTAGTATTATGTATACAAATAATTTTTTATCTACAATTAATAAATGTAAACACACATATATATATTAATAAATAAATTAAAATAATATTATTAAATCTCAATTTAAATTCCACATGCCTTTTAAATGCTTTTTAAATATCAATATGATTGAAATACAAGCCTTGCACAGTTTTTGTTCTCATTTTGCTGCCAGATTGTAATGCGCAGACTTTGCGTCGTATTTGGTATCAATTTGGCGTCAAGTTATGTTACCAAGCTTTGCTCGGTTTTTGTCAGCAATTTGCTGTCGCATTTTGTCAGCAAGCTTTGGCGACAAAACCCAAGCTTAATGCGGACATAGTTGACGCCAATTTGCTTAATATTTTTGTTCAACTTTGTTAACAATTTGATGGCAAATCCCGAACATTTTGCTTACTGGAATTGTTGTCAGATTTCTTTATATTTAATCAGCACTTTTAATAGCACCGTGTGCAAATGCTCATAGCAACAGGCAGCCACGTCAGCATTTTGGGCGCCATTGTTGCCAGATTTCAATATTTTAAATGACATTGTTAGCATTTTTTAATTAGTGTCATGTGCAACAAGCGGGTATAAAAAACTCGCAAAAAATACAAATTATTACAGTTATCCGAAATCATTTGAACAATCACTACATCGCTGCAACGCTTCATCTGAATTATAGCAACGATGTTTTCTACCGTACAACAGACAACTGTGAGTAATCTGGCCAACAAACAGCAAGGTTTGGAGACCTTTGCGAAGAAGCGGAAATACTCGCCCAACGTGTAAGTTGACTCTCTTACTATTTACACTTTTAAACTCACTGCTATTGTTACACTTTGAACTTACACAAGCTTTTATCCACAGAAATAAAAGTAATTCACCAAGTATCGATAGAAGCATGATCACACTTCCCAGAACTTTGGCTAGAAGATACCCGTTGACGAAAACCGGGTATAAATATCTGGATATCGGAATCAATGTTTCTACGCCGAGCTACATAGAAATCGCTTTCGGTGACTACCATGGCAAAGAGATCAAGAGACACGATACTGTCTCGCGCCAAGTTCACGCGTAGCGCAAGACCGACCGTGTATCTTTACGCGAGACGGAAGGTTCAAATGAGCCGAGATTATCGGATCTCAATAACGGCTGGGCCGATTGAGTTGGCAATAGGCTCAATCGAAAGCGCGTACCTAAAATACATAACGAAAGTCTGCTTGTTTTTGCTCTGTGTGCTTTATAAAAATAAATATATGCATTCAAAGTCGAGAAATCTAAAAAATCATCTCGCTAGGATGTATGTCGCGTTGAGATGTATGTCGCTCGTGTCTTATTGTCAGCGTCATCAACATTCTAGCATCATCATCAACATTTTCTAACATGGCGGCGCTCAGACCTGTCAACTCGCAGCTTTAATGTATATATTAATTACATTTATATATTAGTATCAGTCGTAAAATGTATATATAACGTGTTGTGGAGACAAATAAAGATAGTGTATATAAAAAATAATAGTATTCTTCATAAAAAAAATTTTTTTCGATCTTAAAGTGCAGAAGTGTACACTCTCAGTATTCTGTAGTTAGTTATTAGTGGACAGACAGAACAGAAAGTGTACTTTGTGCAGATGGTGGAATCTGCAAGTTTCTGACGTTAGGTGCGCTGATGGCGCTGAGAAACCGCGCGGCGCTCGCTTACGTTTGGCATTTACATAACCTTTCTGTTCAGAAAGTGTTAAAATAAAAAAAAAGTAATAATAGTGAATTCGGTCTAACAAATTTGGCCATTTGCACTATGCATACTTAAGAGTACTTATCCAGAGCAGTGTAGTGCGAGTGATTAAATTTGTTAGAATTTCGTATTAAGTGAAATAGGTGTATAAGTGTATCAGGAGACGCGGTAGTGTCTCCGGCCAAGTTCAAAAAACGACACTACTAAAGGCGTAATCACACTATAGGTTGCGAGCTCGATTGCGATTGAGGTTACAATTAACAGTTTCAGGTTGATCAATCACACTATAGGTTGGCAATACCAGTGTGGTTATTGTTGATTAACCAAGCCGGTAATGCCAGTCATTATGTCAAATATAAGAGAAATAATTTTAAAAGAGCAAAACGTAGATTTTTTATCTGCGTGTCTAATATTGTGTCTAGCAGTTGATCAAGAAAAACGTAAAGTAAAACGTTCTGTGTGGACCAAGCCATACTTATTACGAAGAAAATGTAAAAGTATGTATCATAACCTATTTCTGGAACTTGCGTTTGAAGATCCAAATCGATTTCGTAGGTACTATACACTTTTTATCAATCAATTAATATATTAAATACATTAAAAAATTGTAAACAATAAATAAAGACTGTTTTTAATGAATAAAAGTAGTAACAATTGGAATAATATTTGCAGATGTCTGCGTATGAACAGTGATGTCTTTCAATATCTTGTTGAAAAAGTTACACCTCTTATTCAAAAGAAAACAACGCATTTAAAAGAAAGTATACTTCCTTCTGAGAGACTCTCCGTCACCTTGCGTCATCTAGCTATTGGTAAAATATATAAACACAAAACAATAATACTTAAAAAATTAAAATTTATATTTTTAAAATTGAAAATCAAATCAACTAAAAATCAACACAATAAAAACAATACGTAATTTATACTTCACAATATACTTTATAAAGTATAAATTGCATACTATCTTCCGCACTTGATTCTTACTTGCCGTTTTTTAATTGCTTTGATATTACTTTTTTCTTGAAATAATTGTGTTTACAGAAGAATCACAAAATCACTTAGCCTGCAGTTCAGAATTG